GGTTTCTTCAATACTGCTCGAATCGCTTCGGTGAAAACCTCGTCTAAATTTTCCCGATTCAATGCGGAACATTCCACATATTTATAAGCTTTCACTTTCTTTTTCATCTTTTTACATTCCTTAGCCGTAATCGTGTCCGCACTCTCCTCTTTTCTAAGATCTCCTTTAGTACCTATACGAAACAGAAGATCAGGAGTTAAAATGAGGATAACATACTTTAGGAATTTCTTGTATGTAAAATATGTATTGATAATAACGATATTTACCAACGAGAACTATAGGTGTATTCGGGCAGTGAAATTTAATTTCTGGTTGCCATTTGTTAGCAACGTTCTCGTACGAATTTCGAGAATTCACTGAAAAGCATACCAAGAAGCAGTCAGTCTGAAAATAGAATTAAACTGTTATAATTTAATAATAATATATATTAATTAGATGTGTTAATTATGTATGTGCAACTTATATTAATTTTATATATGTACATGTAGAATGTCTACGAAAAGGAAATTAATAAAGAAGATTGCTCACGTTCGGGTAAGATAACGGCCTGATTCGTTCGTAATCTTCCTGACCAGCCGTGTCCCACAAAGTCATATCAAATTGTTGCCCATCTACACATATCGTCCCTGCATAATTATCGAAGCTGAGGACAGATCATAAATATTATTCTCTAGTTTGAAACAAAATTAATCAAATCAATCGATCGAGTGAAAAGTGTGCACACTTTTCTTTCATTATTTACTGTTATTCAGAAATCAGACGTGTGCGAGAACCAGAAAATGTCGGATCGGGTCGAATCGCGTCGGGAAGAGAATTTTTCTCGGATTTTCGAAAATTTCATGATTTTTGAATATTTCGAGACTCCAAAAAAATGTGATTTTAAAAAACGCTTAAAATATCGAAAATTTGACACCACGATATATTTTGTAAAGTCCTGTAATGGTAATTCAATCCAAGAAACTTTTAGGAGTTTCCGAAATTTTTTTGTGAATTTGGAACATTTTCGGGAATTCCAATAATCGAGAAACCGGAATATTCTTGATATTTTTGATACAGTAAAGAACAAAACCAACACTTATGTATATTATATTATACTAATCTCATATAAATGATCAAAATATGTTATTCATTTCATTATAAACTCCGATAAAAATCTTCACGTTTTTCCTCACGATTTCTACCAATTTTTATTTCTTCAAATTATCTTTACTTTCAAATTAATTTTAATACATTCATCGATTCAGTTTTGTTCATTACTATACATGTATATGTATATTCGAGAATCTTGTTTGAGTATGCGAGTCCCGATCCGATGCTTTCCAAACCGCCCCAGTTATCAGGTTCTCGCACAACCCGCACAAGTCTATCAGAAATTAATTTCATAAGGAAGAATAAAATTACGAACAAGATGATTAGATTGCGAACATTTAAGTTTCTATTTTTATGAATAAAATTAAACGAACAAAATACATAATAATAAACATTTGTTTTCTTCCTTAAATATTATAAATTGTATTTTGCTTCGGATATTTTGTATTTATTTACATATTAGTGGGTACTGTGTCTCTTTATTTATTATTGAAAATTCCCATAAATGTATAAACATCCGTAGTCTAAAGATGGTTTAATTACTAGTACTTACATAGTGGGCACATATTCCGACGGGAATGCATTTGTCGTGTACGTAATAAGCATACACGTTTTGCCGACAGTCCCATCACCGATAGTCGTGATTTTTATTGGTCTACGTCGGGAAGCGTCGGTATTTTTGTTCTCTGGAAAAGCGAATAACATTCTTCATTAATTCACATAAAACTATCGTGTCATTAATCGAAGAAAGTTTAGAAGATTTTCCACTTTGCATAATATGAAGGACAAAATAAGAAAGCTTCTTTGGGATTTCGATGGTCTTTTTGTTGTGAAAGCTGACCACCGTATCCGGCGAGTGAACATCAAGGCTATCCTTGTCGTTGTTTGCTGCGCCGCATATTAATTAGAATTGAGAGCTGCTACGTTTTTATTTAGATACAACATCTGAACCAGTTATATTAAAATTATTTAACCAAATTCATTTATTATATCAAATTTTTAATAAATATACGTTGTTGAGGTATTTGTTTAATAAATCAGCCGAAGGTAAGTGATATACATATAAAAAGGAGTATTATGTATATACATCACAGTATTAAAATTGATATTCTGTTATTGAATATTATCTATTACATTATTTATATGTGTAAGTATTTGCAATACTGTTTTACATATAACGTGTCGTCTAAATCACAAATGCTGCGTTCGTGCGTTTTCAAAGCGCATGCCTGTGCCGTTGTATATCTTGAATCATCAATGTCACTCCTTTTCTTTCCACTCTATGCCCCTCTCCTTAGAATTCTTTCGATTCTTTATGATTTAATTGTGTTTTTATTTCACAGTTAAAAGAACCATTAAAATTTTAATTAGGATTTTCATTCAATTGATTTTATCAGTGTGTACGTGAAAATGCAACTGCTGCTATAACTAAACTGCGAATTAAAACAATCATGATGTCAGCTTAAAAAAATGTGTTCTAGATTAAGATTTCTTTTAAATATTGCAACATGTAATTAAATTTTGATATTCTGAATAATTTTAGACATTTCCAATTTTCTTTCAAATGAATCAAGTCTGCAGTCTACATGTATCCCCATCTCTCGTTTCGAGAAACATAGAATTAAAGTTGAAAAGTAATTTATTTACCAAATATTTAACTGTCCATTATAGGTGTGTGAACTCTAGTTTGTGTCATAATTAATAGTCCTTCGTGTTACAAACCCAAAAATATCATTATCTTGTTCACCATTTACCCTTATTGTTGTTGCACATTGTTCGCTGAATGAATGTTCAATGACAGACCCAATGCAGTTTGGTCACAGCTATCCGTTAAGTTTTGTGGAGTACCCTATCAGTAATCAGTGTCCCTGATTGTTTGCTTTCATCCGGCCAATTCCATCGTACGCTACATTATTTGGCTGTAAAAGAGTAAGAAAGTCTGATAGTTTCATAATTAATATTAAAGACTCATTTATACTCGTCCACTAATTCGCACTTTGAGAAAATGTGATCAATCTATGTGTTGATATTATGAAAATGGACATGATTGATTAAAAATTAGCATAATATTGTACAATAAATATAAAATCAGAGTAACTTCGAAAAAACGAAAACAAAGTATGAGAGCTTCTAGTATGGTTCTAAAGAATTCTTGTGTAGAAATCATGTGAACAAAAAATGTAATGCATTATTCGTCAGTGCATCATATGGAAATGGAACGATCCATCGTAGTTTACAGAAATTTTTATTCGTGCTCGCGGGAAACGTAAATCAAGATTTCGAGCTTCTACAATGTTCGCTGGTATTTACAAGTAGGATTTATCGAAGGACAAGTTAAAACTGTGAGTCGTAACTTGTCCTGGATATTAACACTAAATCGCGAGGCGAGGGTCTACCGTCGAATACTAGCTTCATAATTGGTAGTTTTTCTTTGATAGACACAAAAATCTATCGTAAAAAAATTACATAATAGCAAATCTGTAATGCAATAAATCGTTTTTCAAGTAACGTAAATGGTTCGTGGATTTTTATACGTTCAAATGGTAGTAATGTTCCATAGTAATTTTAATCACTGTTAAGTGTTAGTATCAATGCGGTTGGAACGGTGACCGCAGAATATTTTCTGCCTGATTCACTCCGTCACAACGACCAGCAATTGTTTAATTGAAACGATGGAATTATGTTTCCTAATTTGTAAAAGCAGTCAACCCCTTCCTGAGATCATCGCACTTTCCGGTCTGCTGCCTGTGTACCTAAGTACATTACAGCTGCTTTTCAAATAGTCCGAACGCTTATATTATTATTTCATTGACAATTTAAAAAAATTAATTATGATTATTTTATCAATTCGGCATATATAAACACTTTTATCCAGTTTCCCAAGAAATTTTTTACCCGTTATTCTCAAGTATTATTTCCCTTTGAAATATAAAATATATTAGAAATATTAGATTGACAAGAATCAAGTGTAATGTTACATTAATATTTTATTCTACTTGAATAGCGAAGCGTTACCGTTTAAATAAGGTTGTTCATCTCGTGTCATGATCTAAGGGAGGAACAGGCGAAATATGAGAAAATTACTGTGAGACGAAAATGTGGGTAGGATACACGCGTAGGAGGAACGAGGGTGTGCCTTCAAACACAACGCATCAAATAATTCTAACCACGCCCTTCCTTCCGCATTCCATCTATTTCTCTATTAAATTTCGGAAACCGACTAATGGAACATGGTTCAATCAACAAATTTAGAGACTAATACTTATACCTAGATAAAATATTGAAGCGTATCACCAGAGTCAGATTTGTTCTAAATTTCAATTTAGTTTTTTTCTAATGCAAGAAGTTTAATCTTTCTCTTAAAAAGAATTCCTAATAAAAAATTGAAGTACATAAAAAACCTTGTATGTCAATCTTAAAAAAGAATTCTGATAATATTTATCAGCCTACTAAATGTTCCAATTTCTGTTCACGACACAATTTTTACTCACTTCTATAATCTTATATATAAGATAGTGGTAGCAATTGTGAAGAGAAACGGGGACATTACTATTTAAGTGTTACAATAAAAATAACAGCTTCAATTATTTGCAGCTTATGTAGCATAATATCGACATTAACTATTACTGTGCGTGTGACAGTTGCAAGTAGTACGGTTACAGATCCATGAAAGCTAATTTTGTGGCCTAATTCACGAACGCAGAAGGAAATTAACGTTTTAAAATTGATGTTACGATTCGATGTTCCAATAGATTATGACAAAACATCGTTTGGAGAAGCGATTTTTCGGATGCGTGAGATTGGTGATGTATATTGTAAACCAAGTAGAAATTCAGCAGTCTCTAAATATGCATGTTTTTTATGCAAAAGTACATGCATAATATTAAAAAAATGAAACATTCTTAGATTACTATGAGATTGCGAATTTCTTCGAAAACAAACGTTTATAAAGAATTAATTTCATTTTTATAGTTTGCCCATTGCAATATAATATTCAATGAATGTTTAGTTTATGTATTGGGCTATTATAAGGGCTAAGTACTTAAATCTACAAAAGGAATGTTTCAAATTTTTATTATGAGCCCCAGTAAAAAAGTTAACTTCCTTCTTCGCCAGTCCTTTCTCCGCGTCTTTCGATAAATAGCAATTTTTTTAAATTGTTTACTACACATTATACAATGAACTATGTATGCCTTCTAACATTCTAAAGGAAATTCAATTCGTTTGGTTCGGTAGCGAAAGAAATGAATTATTCCGTTTTAAAAGGTGTCCGAATACTGTCATAAACCACTGTAGATGTAAGTGACTCATTCGTCATTCGAATGAATAACGTTTCGGAAAACCGTCGCCTGGACAATCGACATTCTACTGTACTTGTATTCTAAACATAGTTTACTGCATTATAAGCACAGGGCATCAACACAACGATAAAGTAAAACGAAAATTATTTTATGAACATAAATAATTCATATAGAATAAAAATTATATCATAAATATAAACTATAGGATACAGTATGAATTCATATTAAAGATATAAATGAGAAATTTATATTATACATAAAAAAGGAATAAAATATTTCGTACACATGTTTACAAGTAATGATGCTACGAAGGCTTTGTCGACTCGTGTCTGCAATTCTATTTACCTTTCACCCGCCCAATGAGGTAATGCTTTTATGTAAATAGGCGGCAGTCACGCGAATGGAGCGGTGACATAACTTGGATGTTCGTGAACCTGCGTGTTGTCCGAGAGCGAATAATTAAAAACCATAAAACGACTCATCCCGACCAGTTATATAAACCATTGTACAGTGAATGTACTATTTTGTTTCCAGCAAAAATCTAAACCAAGCTTGGGCATTGTTCAAATAAATTATTTGAAAAATAATCTTTAGAATAAAAAATTATGTCACTTGGCTACATGTGATTTGATATAATCGTTTGTTAGTTTTTTTAAGATGCAAATAAGCTTTTAGTTTATTTCTTAATCAAGTACTCTTTAAAATAGTGTTCTCTAATTCTACATATTCGTTTTTATATTCATCTCAACGTAAATAATTATTCATTACATTATTTGATTCAGGAATTTGAAACAAAAGATTATTTTGCAGTAATT